GTACATATATAAATAGACAGGAAAATGAATTTTCAACCTGTTGAAACTCTCCATGTTTTCCCATTCTAACTTTTTACACCAGGTGATGCAAAATCAGAAACAAGAACTGAGTCTCTGACCTCCGGGACCTCTCCCCCACCAACTTCGCCAACGTGAAACCCCAGGTTTCCCCACCGAGTGGCATTCACAGTTATTCTCTCTGTTAGCATCCTGCTCACTTTCCCCATGATACAGCCACACCAACAAGCATTTTTCAGCAAAGCTTGCTTTATCCAGACACTTCTAGGCCACACCCAAAACCCAAAGCATAGTGCACACCGGTGACCCGTACCGCAGGGACCCCAGCAGGCCTGGTCACCTTTAAGCTCCCCACTGGGGTTCAGCAGGGCTCCTTCCTTTACTAACAGAGGTCTTTCGGCTAGCCCACTGCTCCCTAACATGTTATTATCATTGGCGAATCACTTCCCGGTTCCATTTTATTACGCTGGCAAGTGCAATTTACGGATGTTTCAATCATGAAGGAAACGGGAGAGAAAACTAACAGATGAATTCTCAACTGTCATTACCCAAACTCCCCTGAGGCATATGATGTTCAGATCAACTTCAAAGGATGTGAAGAAATTAGTTCAGCCATAACTATCAACTTAATGCTAATATAGAAGAACAAACACGGATTATGTAATTATTCAAAACGTCATTTCAAAGATGAAATCTTTTTTGCTTATCTTCAATTAAAATGTTCTTATTGGGTTTTGGCTTTTCTCAAAATGATGCTGTAAATCTAATTCATCTAACTGATACTCAGTGAGCAAATTTGAGGAGACTGAGTATCAGTAAACAATAAGCCTAGTATGTTTCATAAGCTCACAGGTGCTGAGCCTTGTTACAACTAAACATATCAAAATGTTGCTTTGGAACTTACTGTTGCAAAGGAAGCACAAAAATGTTAACTTCTATTACAAATTAATAATGGCAAATGGATACAAAATGCAGATTATACCAATAGGAATTCCAATTTCTCAATAGGAAAACTGAAGTATTTATTAATCATTCAAAAGTGTTTATAGAGTGCATACTTAATGCCAGGCATTGAGAACCTGAGAAAACAGATGCAAATTTCCATGTCTTCACAGAGTTTTCAGTCTAGTGAAGGAGACATCCTGAACGTAAAGCTTGCAAGGAATCAGACATGCTGAAAAAAAAAGAAAAAAGAAAAGAGAAAAAAAAGGAATCAGTGAGAACACAGGAGAGTGGGCACATACATATGTTAGTTTGGAAGGACAGGTGCAGCCTCCCTGAGAAATTGACATTATAGTTGTGTCCTGAGGATGAGGAGGGCTGGCCAGGTGAAAGGGGTAAAAAAAGCATCCTGATAAGAGAGGGCAGCTGGTCAAGGATGCTGAGGTAGGAAGGCGATGAGGGCGTTGGGAGGAACTGAAAGGAAGTCAGTATGGGCAGAACAGAGCAATAGAGGGGAAGTGGCAGAATATGAGACTGGAGAGGGAGGCAGGAGCCAGATGACCAAGGCCTGGAAAGCCGGGATAAAGTATTGGGAAACCTCTGGATAGTTTCCCAAGGAGGAGTAATGCCTAGCTCTCTGTGCTGCTGAGTGGAGAGTTGATCGAAGGGGGCACCCTGGAAAGCAAAGGAGTAGTTAAAGGACTGCTGTGATGGTCCAGCCAAGATCACGTCAATGACATACAGAGGTGGGCGGTTCAGGAGACATTTTGGAATTAAAATCGACAGCACTCTGTTGAGAATTGGATGGAGGCAGCGGGGTGGGGAAGAGAATCCGTCTCTGGCTTAACCACTTGAGTTGACCGAGAGACCACATTCTGCGGTGGGAGCAGCCGGAAGAACGGGGCTGGGGAAGGTCAAGAGTTCCATCTTGGACATGCAGAGCCGAAGGTACCTGGGAAACAGCCAGCTGGAAATGAGACAGAGGCAGGTGGAAAAATCGTGCAGGAGCTTAAGGAACAGGTTTGAACTAGAACATTTGTAAACTGCTAGCAATGTAATTACATAGTTTGTTTAGTTAATTTCAGACCAGACATAGTTACCAACTAAATGTATTTATTCATATTCAGAGCACATCATTTGTAGCAGATGGATGGTGTTCAGGATAAGCAAACATGAAAGGCCTGCCAGTTATATAAAATTTATTTTTAAAAATGTATCACCCAGCCCTAGCGGTTTGACTCAGTGGATAGAGTGTAGGCCTGCGAACTGAAGGGTCCCGGGTTTGATTCCAGTCAAGGGCACATGCCAGGGTTGCGGGCTTAATCCCCAATACGGGGCGTGCAGGTGATTCTCTCTCATCATTGATGTTTCTATCTCTCTCTCCCTCTCCCTTCCTCTCTGAAGTCAATAGAAATATTTAAATATACACTGAGTGGCCAGATTATTATGACTGGCCAGATTATTATGACCACCCCATTAGTATTTCATTGACACTTCCAAAAATACTGAATATTGAAAACTTCCTAAGCAAATACTCTCAAGGTTTTATTATTATTATTTGCATAACTAATTCACTTCATTGTACTGATGGGATGGTCATAATAATCTGGCCACTCAATATATATATCACCCAGACGAGAAAAAGCTAAAGGAGTTCATCACCACCAAACCAGTATTACATGAAATGTTAAAGGGTCTTATGAATAATAAATACATATCTATCAACAATTGACTGTAATAATCAAAATGAACAATCTAATGAACAAAATAAACTGGTGAGTAATATAGAACCAGAAGCATAGAAACATGGAACAGACTGACAAATCTCAGATGGAAGGGTGAGGGGGTGGAGAGAGATTATATGCAACGAACTTACATACATACATGCATTACCCATGGACACAGACAGTAGGGTGCTGAAGGCATGGAGGGGGGTGGGATTCCGGTGAGGGAGCAATGGGGGGGGGGGGGGGGAGACATCTGTAATAATCTTAACAATAAAGATTTTAAAAAACATATCACCCAAGTAATATATAATTTTATAGTTAAATTTTACATAATAAAAAATTAAAATCAATCAGATTCCACCACACATTTGTTTTACACACATGTACTTTTGGGGGCTGTAACAAGTAGCCGAAGGGAAGGAGTACACAAACACTCAAGGCGAGTTTACAGCAAAAGAGAAGCCTAGCAGCACCGCCTCAATAAGGATTTAATTTAAGAAGCAGTCGGGAAAGATATTGTATTCATGTACTTAACAATTTTCTATTGAGTGCCAAGGATTGTTTTAAATTCCAAAGCAATAATCAAAGACTGCAGAGCATTTTGTCTAACCTGTACAGGGTTTAAAATTCATTGCCAGCATTTAAAATTTGGAATATTTTACATTAAAAATAATGAATTTTCATCTTACCTTGAAAAGTCAGAAGAGCTAGCAACCTGGGGCCTGCATTCCCTCCTGACAGCATCTTGCTGGCCCTGAGTCACCTTGGCCTCCTCAGGGTCATACTCCCTCCAGGGACAGCTGCAGACCCTAGGACTTCCCAGTGTCTCCCTCTTATTTCACATGCTTCCAACTCCCTTCATTCTTTTACATGCCTGCATGCCCCTGGAGAGTTTTCGACCCCTGCTGGAGATACAAAAGCAAAGGCTGCATTGCTGCGGCCACTCAACACCAAAAGCAAGTGAAAGCAGGGAGTGACCTGACTAGATCTGCACTTTACAAAAATGACCCTGTGGGCCCTAACTAGTTTGGCTCAGTGGATAGAGCGTCGGCCTGTGGACTGAAGGGTTCCGGGTTCGATTCCGGCCAAGGGCACATGCCCTGGTTGTGGGCTCGATCCCCAGTGGGGGACATGCAGGAGGCAGCCGACCAATGATTCTCTCTCATTATTGATGTTTCTCTCCCTCTCCCTTCCTCTCTGATCAATTGAACCATGAATCAGTTCTTTCTGAGCTGACCCTCTTGCCTGCCCCAATGTCACTTAGAGAGAGGTCCTGTATTACCCGAGGGTCTTTTCTGTCTGCAGGAGTGTGCTCTGCACCCACCCCTCCCTGCTGCACACAGGTTGGAAGTGCCAGAGACAGTTCCAGGAATGACCCTCAAACAAAGAGCAATGAGAACTGGTGTCACCCATTGTGGAATTAGGTGGTAGGCACCTGAGCATACAATGCACCATCTTTATACGTTTCTGAATGTTTGAAATTTGTCCTAATAACATGTTGGATGAGATGGTTTTGTGGAAGACAAAGCATGGGCAAATATTCACCATATGTTGTTCAAGAAAAGTGAAGATTACAAAACAATGTGGACAATGATCATAATTTTGTAACTATAAAATGCATATATACATATGTATGTATATATATATACATATATATATACACATACCTGTGACAGTGTGGAGCATGGTCTGGAGAGGAGCTGGCCATGTGGCCTGCTGAAGGCAAGAGCAGTAGTAGGGATGGGAGTGGGGCGGGGGCGGACACCTGAGGCAATGAGGAGAGAGACCTGCACAGCGTCCTGGATTGCATGTGTTCTCTATAATAATTATTTACATCCAAATGTCTGTTCAAACGATAATTTGAAGTCTTTGCCCTGGTTCTGAATTTATAAGATGACACATACAATTATGCTTTCTAGATAATAAACCAAATTTCAAGACACAGCACCTTGACTTTATAATAATAATAATTAGCCAGTTTGAGCTGATATGCATAAAGAGAACTGCAACTAATATTCTCTGAGGGGTAAATATTTTATTCCTTGCAATTGGTTCTATTTTATTTATTTCTGTATGTATTTATTTATTTGGTTCTTTATTATTTAAATTGCATTTCACTTTTAGGTAACTATATATAAGCTCTTCTAGAACGATGTATAGTTTTTCTTTATGGTGTTTATTTTGAAATTATATGTGTGTGTTGTTGAATCACATAATTTAGTAAAGATTATTAAAGTTCTGAAAATAGTAAATAAGAATGTTGGAACCATAAATATAATTACATGAATGTTACCTCATTATATTCCCTATTAGTACCTCCATGAAAATGGGATTGTCCATCGTGATCTCAAGCCAGAGAATCTCCTCTATGCAACTCCAGCCCCAGATGCACCACTCAAAATTGGTGAGGACATAGCCTGACCTCTTCTGACCCCTTTCCCAGAACAGAAGAAATGTATTCTGAGGAATTTTTAAATATGGCTCCATTCAATGTCACCTCCACTCAATTTTCTCGGACATTTGTTGTCTGTAAAGGAATAAGGCACAGTGCTGGAAGCCTGTGCGTTTTCCTGGAGTGTTAACCTGAATTAGTGCCTAAAGTTAGTGTTGCAATGCTGGGCACACAAAGGAATCACAACTCTTAGAAATAACAGGAACTTCAGGAGGTGAAATTTTGTAAATATGTTTATATAGAAAAAAAATCACAGATAACATAATACTTCTTTCTTGGTTATTAACTTTCATTCCACAAATTAGATGGAGCTTAATTTTAGATAATCGAGAACTCTGACACCAAATGTTTGGTACCTATCAGTGATTTTAGGCTCTGAGTCACTTGTTTATATGAACAGAGATAAACTGAGCTCTGCTTCCCAAAGTGCACCTCACAGAATGCTGTTTCCTTGGCCCAGGTACAAGGCCCATCAGTCCCTTTGGAGGAGGGGAAGTGGTTTGTGGAGGTCCTGAGTTAGAATAAGTTAGAAAATGCCAACTTCAACAAGATTTTTATTTCTTCAGGACTTATCCCCAAACCTTTAAAATGCTAACGTGTACACTGACATCTAATCTGACTCTGGAAACCTTGTTTGTTTTTTCAATAAGCTTTTTGAGGAACTACAAAGATGAACTTTGGGATCTACCCAAAGAGATCTTTCAATCAGCATTTTAGAAAAAAACATATTAAATATTACTTTCCATGTGCCTTCCAAAGTAAATCTTCATTTGCAAAAAAGTAGAATTTATTTTTGATGAATTCTCCCTAGCAGAATCTGTTTTGTCCTGCCTGTGTAGGGTTTCACATTTTTTAAATTAAATTCTCTGAAGGACATTTCTCTCTTGGTGCTATCCTTTATAATGCTAATCTGATGAGTTCACTGCATTTGTAAGTGTTAACACCTTTGAAGATTAAGTCATACATATCACGGAAGCGCTCAGACCACAGAATGTGCTTTATGAATGCAAGACCCTAAAGAAAAGATGCTGACGTCCTGCGGGGCAGCAGCGTGTTCTCATAATCACTCCTGAAAGACGGCAGGCAGGCTCCCATTTCCTTTGACATCACTTTCAAAGATTTTATCCTTAAAGAAATTTCTTTAAATGGATGGATAGATTCTAATTTAGGCAGGAGAGCCTTTCTTTCTGAAGGACTTCCTGCTGCTTCCTCTGATAAGGATCTGGCACCTCCGTGGAAAAGTGGGTTTATCTCTGAAGTCTAAAATGGCATCAATTCTGCACCTGCCTCTCGTGAAGAATGGCCTCAGAGTGTTCCTGGTGTTTCCTGAGTGAGGCAGATGTAGCCCAGCAAGTAGACCATAATGATAGCAGCCTTTGATAATGTTTTATCTAGGTAATAGTCTGTGGAATAAATAAAAAGGATTTTTGCCAAAAAAAAAGTCATCTTTCTCATCCGAGAGTAAATTCTTCTCCGTCAAATACACTAGGGAATGACATTATTTTGAAGTAGAATAAACCTTTTGATGTTTCTGTTCATTTTTTCAATATTTATGAAAGTCTCATTTTTTATTTTAATTCGTTCCAGTGGATTAAAAGCTCTGAATTATATCACTAATTCTATATGGTCCTTCAGAGTTAGTTTCATAAATCTTAGAATTAATATTTAACAAAATATGTCTCTTGCAACTATTACTTCAAGAAGAAATAGCTTATATGCTGAAAGCTGGGAATTATAGAAAAAAAGTATAAAATGTATTTAGGAATCATATTTTCCTCCAATTTAAAGCAAGATTTAAAATATTATTGCTACTCTTTTCAATTTTTCTCTCCCTGGTGACTGGTCTCCATCTACATCCACTCATCAAATACAAAAACAAACAAATGTTTTATTTTGAATAACAAAGGTATTCTGTCATCTTATATAAGCTGAGAAAAAAACTTGCTTTTTTTTTTTCTTGTGTTGTTAGCTGATTTTGGACTCTCCAAAATTGTGGACCATCAAGTGCTCATGAAGACGGTGTGTGGAACCCCAGGGTATTGCGGTACGTTCTTTAGTACTGACATTTTATAGTTTCACTGTTATTTGAAATATATTTTATTTAATGTTCTGATTTTTTAAACTCCTAATATCTCTATTTAAAATGCTTACAATTTAATGCGAGTCTCCACAAGGAAGGCATATGTCAATGATACTCAAACCACCTCTTCTTCCTTATAAGGGGCTCTATAATGTCAGTTTGAGGGCACCCCTGTTAGAACAGCAGGAATGGAGGGGGCCCACGTGGGGAGGACTGGGGGCTCTGCATCTGCCTTTTGGGCAGTAGCTACTCCTGGACCCACTCAGTAGCAGAAAGACCATCACTAGTGAAGAAGACAGGAAAACAGCTTTGTTTGTTTTTGGAATTAAAGCCATGAGCTCTTTGTCACTTTCCTTATTTGCTTTTATTTGGGAGGGTGTGCGAGGAAGGGTGTGTCATTAATTCAGATGGTATGTAGGACAACAGAGAGAATGGGGCAGTCCCTAGTTCTCATTGATGGCACTGGCCTAGCCTCATTCACAGAAGGGCTGCAGGTGGCCTTTCCCCGCCAGAGCTCCCCAGTCTCTGGAGATGGACAGTGCAGCAGCCCTCACATCCTCTTGTACAATCTCCCAGGATGGCCTGAAGGCACCCCCCACACACTCCACAATCCAGAGACAGAACAATAGCTGTTAACCTATGCCAGCAAGAAACTCACCCTTTTTTCCCTCAGTGGCTAAATTCATCTGCCAACAGCCTAAAGCTTGGGAAGACCAGTATGCAATTACATTAATGATCTCTCAGAGTCCCTTCTGTGACTAAGAGAGAACAGCAACCTTCCAAGGGCTTTAATAATAGTGATAAGAGCAGTTCTTTTTTGCAGCATACCAGAATGGTCATTCTGTGAATGAATGATTCATTCATTGATAAAATGAACATTAGCTGTCTAATGGGCTCCATTTTAGGCACTGAGATTACAAGAGAAGTACAGTATGGTCTTGCCCTCCAAGGATTTCATGGGCTATAAAAGAAAGACCTGTACACAATAATTCAAAGTCTATTATGATCTATTTTATATTTATCTGAGCCAAAGGCTCAAGAGTACAGAGAGGAACATTTGAGCTGGACACTGACGGATGTGTAGGAGTTTAACAAGTGAAGAGGTGGCCACCAAGCATTCTTTGCCAGCAGGGAAAGTCACAGAGGAGCACTAGCATCTGGCAAGTTTGGGGACTGTTTGTTACTTCATCGCTTTGCATGACTGGAACATAGACTCCTTGGTACAGATGGACCATATTTTCAAAGAATTTGTACATCAATCTAAACAATTCAGACTTGCTTTGGTAGATAATAGTAATTTATCAAAGGTTCTTAATCAGAACCATCATATTTTAAAGTCAAATCAGTATTTTATAAATATCCTGACAATGACATTATGACAGATGAATTTTAGGAGAAAAAAGGTCAGAAGAAGACAAATGAGAAAGCTATTGTAAATACTCCTTCTTGGCCTTCTCATGTCAGAAATCTACACACAGTTTATTGTCACTTCATAACAGCTTCTCAGCAGATAATGTATCTGACCTACTCCTAAGTCCAATCATTTATTTATTAGATATAAAATGGTTGTAAAACTACTATATCAGATGCTTGTCCTTGCCATAAACAAGCCTGTCTTACAGGTAATGCCACCTTATGATGAAGGCCTATTTTCCATTTACTATTTTTTCCTCTGTAGGCATCCAGATCACCCTAGGGCTGTGTAATTGGGAAAGAGGGAATTGAGTGGTTGGTTGTGATCGAGATAATCCTTCCACTCTGCTATATAGGTAGAAGCTCACCAGGAAGCAGTCATTTGCTAAATTATAAGAAAAGGAGGAGAAAGAAGCAAGAAAACTGGGGTGGGGGGAGAGAGAGAATTGAGATGAAAATTAAAATGCTTTTGTGGACTCATGTACTAAACATACGCATAGAATTACTTTTCTAGGCTGAGGCAGGCTTGGAAGTCAAAAACAAATAAGTTCCATATATTTAATTACAAGAGCACGGTCTAAATTATGTATAAATAGTTACATATATATTCTCTTGACCTAAGGGAGTTCACGAAAATATTACTTCAGTATGTTATAAAATATTACTTCAAAGTGGGAACAGTTGAGGGGGCAGGATTTTAAAAATACACCTGTGCATAGTAACACAGAAAAACTGGAAAAGCTGAGTTAGGGGAAAACAGAAGTCACAGTAACATCAGGGCAAAGGAAGTAGATGGCCTGGAGCCGAGGAAAAATGCAGAGTTCTGAATTTTAAAAAATTTAATATAATAATGACTGTTTATCTGTCTTACAAACAATTACACCATTTATGGACCAGGCTAAAGTTCCCTGTGAGGTTCACTCTCAGTTCTAGCCCCTTCTCTCCTTACCACATATAAGCACTGACATCAGTTTGGTGTGTGTCCTTCTGAGATACTTAGGTGGAAAGGGAACTGTCCGTTTATAGAATGAGTTGAAAATGAGACCCAAGTACAAGACTAGTGTGCTCCTTTATACGGGGACTTTACATTTAACTCAAAGTGTCTGCGGGCCATATAATTGATGGAGAGAAAAGATGTGAGCTTGTTTCCTTGCATCCTAGGTCAATTATTTCTATGTATACTGGAAAGTGGGTGTTTATGTTATACCATTTGTCATTTGTCAAGAAATACAAAAAGGAAAAGCCATTCAGAAATCCTTTACCCCAGAGGGTGCTCTTATAAGTAAATCTCAAAATAAAATCACAGATGCTTGTATTTAAGCAAATATTATTTCCTGGGAAATATGCCCAGTTGAAACAAAACTCCAGACCAGAAAATTAAAATTTGTGACCCAGCTAAATGAAATCAATGACTAGTTCTCTGAATTAGTCCATGAAGAGCTCAACATTAAATAAATTCTCGACATCTTGTTCTTGGGAAAAGAAATAGTTTTCAAAAAAAAATCCATTGGTCCATGACTCCTGATAAATGTGCTACAATGTCACTATGCAATATTACTACCAAAATGTCTTAACTGCTTTAGCTATTTAAGACTTAACTAGCTAAAACCTACCCATAGCAATCACAGAAAAGAAGGATAGTTGACCCTTGAATAACTCGAGGGTTAGGGGTGCCAAACCCTTGCAGTCAAAAATCCATGTATGTCTTTAGACTCCCCTAACACTTAACTATCAATAATCTACTGTTGATGTGAGACCTTACCGATCACATGAACAGTCAATTAGCACATACCAGTATGTTATGTATTTATTATGTACTGTATTCTTACAGTAAAGTAAGCTAGAGAAAATAAATGTTATTGAGAAAACCACAAGGAAAAGGAAATACATTTACAGCACTGTATGTATTGATTGAAAAAGATGTGTGTGTAAGTAGACTTGTGCAGTTTATGCTCATGCTGTTCAAGGGCCTACTCTATAAGCTGGTAGAGTAGGAAAGAAACTAATATGGTGATGGGTGAGATAAAAAATATTCCTAATACCAATTATCTAATTCATTTGTAAGTTTAATTAAACTGTGTATTTTATATTTCATATTTCTACTTGTCTATTTATTCAAATTCTATTTCCAGGGTCCATAGCTGTTAAGAATTTATTATCTCTTGGCATTTCCCAGGGTCTCGTTAGAAATAAGCTATTATGTTCACTATACCAAAATTAAAAACAATTTTTCAACAACCTACAGTCAGAGAGGTTTCTGCCACAAGAATACACACTAATAAGAAAAATGTAGAAAAATATAAATGAAAAGAAGTAAACATAAAATACAAGCTTTCAAAATATTTTCATAAAAGACATGGTTTTGTTCTTTTCTAGATGACTAAATAGCTAAAGTGAAATAAGAAGAGTACTTTAGAGGTAATCGAAACATGTAAGAAATTATCTCACCTGAGAATTAATTAAATACCCCCAGTGATGACTTTCTTCTTACTATGAACTTTTCGAAAACTAGAAGAATTAAATACACAGTGAAATGTCAACTGCACTTTCTGTAACATTCTGCTTGATAGATGGTGTGTGTACACGAGGGTTCCCGTGGGGTTGTCGACAATAGGAAGGGAGCAGGGAAGGTGAGAGGAAGAAAGAGAATGTTAAGCAGGTGGGTAGAGGGTACCCAGATCCAGCTTCTGTTCCTGACCACAGCCCTTCTTTGTCCCTGAGATAGATTGTGTCCCCAAGCATCATATGACTGTCCCAGGGGCATGCTTGCGATGCCTGATCCAAATGAACAAGTGCCAGGTAAAGAAAAGTGGCGAGGAAAGGCCATAGCTCCTTTGTTCTTGACCTTGCAGAGGACAGGACTCTGCAGGTTGAATGTGGGCTTATTTTAAGCTGTCTTGGGAGTTTTACATCTACAGGAAATGAATCTCTTGAGGTCTCTGCATTGGTCTGGTACTGACCTAAACAATGTGTATTCTGTGGAACTTCAATTTTGTAGATGTTTGCGCCTTTTTGTTTAATAAATATTTAGTGAACTCCTATTACACACCAGGCAGTGTACAGGTGCTAGAGGTATAGAAGTGAAAAACAGAACACTCTTCTCTTTAAGGATGGTACATTTTAGTGGAAGAAGACAAGTAATAAACAAAATGAGTGTGTACATTAGATGAAAAGAAATGACAATTTCCATGGAAGGATATGGAATTAGGAAAGAGAATAGGAAGTGCTAGGGGCCTGGGCTGCAATTTAAACAGGGTGATCAGGGAAGGCTTCACTCAGAGGGAACATAAGAGCAAAGACTTGAATGAGGTGAGGGAGAGAGCAAACCATGTGATGTCTAGGGAATAACATCCCAGGTAGAGGGGACAGAGACACCAATCCTGAGGCAGGAACACGCCTGGGTGTCTTTAAGGTCCAGGAAGGAGGCTGGTTGGTTGTAGTGCAGTGACAAGGCGGGAAATGGTAGGAGAAAGGGATCCGAAAGCTCCAACTGGAAGGATAGAGTTAACATTTACTTACCTGAGGGAGACTTTTGGAACAACAGGTTAGGC